GGTTGGGTTTGCACGTTAGTGGGTTGTTTTCTTTTTTATGAGGTTTTTTTGGTCGGTGTATAACCGGATCTATGGTTGTCGATGATAGTCGGTCGTGCAGTGCAAAGGAGATAGGTATGAGGGTTTGCGACTAATGAGATTTTTTTTTGGAGATGAGTTGTTGCTTTTTGGGTTTTTTTTCTCCTAGGATTTTTACTTGCTTATTAATCGGAAAAATGTAGTTTTTATATGTAGAGTTTTAGCGTTTTAAGGTAGATGATAAAACTCTACTTTAGTTTTCCATTTTGAGCACCTTTTGCATTTTAATCCTATCTCCTCTTATTTCTTTTTTATTCTCTTCAATGTCACTCGATTTCAATCAATTGCTTTTTTTTCCCTATTTTTTCTTTGTTTTTCTTACTCTTCCTTTTTTCTTTTCTTTTTGTGATTATTTGTTTTAGCAAAAATAAGGGATGACAAATATAATAACGTCAACTCTTGAAAAGTTACATAAGTAAATTTATAATTTTTTTCACAAAGTTGAATTAATAAAATGGTAAGAAACTTATATGTAATTTGTTGCTTGCTAGTAAAATTTGATCTTAAAGCGGAGTATATCGACACTTTAATTTTTGATGAAAAACTTCGCAATTAAATAATATGAGGTTTGGTTTCGCCTAGCAAGCCATTAGGACTTTCCATGGGTACTCAATTTAAAGAAAAAAAATGCTATTGATCGAAAGAAATAACATTCAAGAGATTGAGAGAATTTCATCAATCAAAAGAGACAAAACTTATCGAAAAAAGTGTAAATGTCATAAATCGAAAAATATGACACTTACATCATTAGCCATCAAAACACTCGAAGCCATTTGTCCACAATCAATGACGAATCAACACTTTCTAAGTTACAATAACGAAACTATTAAAAGCAATAAAAGCTATCGAACTATTTGTAAGAATATAAAAACTAATTGTTACAAGGTAAACTAGAAAACTTGAATAAATTTGTGTTGAAAAAATCATGTATGTTGATTGAGTCCGATTCTTTTAGTCCCCCTTTTTTAAATAGCTCTCAACTCGATAATTGTCTTGGATTTGACGTTAGACACAAACGGTTATTGGTAACTCGTCCCTTTGTTTTCCGTAAACATGTTGTCTCGTCAAATTTGATCGATTACAAGACTAAGTGTATCGTTTCATTTAAGTATTATTGTTTTGTCAAGCTTGGTTGGTTATACAACCAAATGCATCGTTTCATTTAAATCTTAATGTTTCGTCGAAACTTGGTTGATTATATGACCAAACACACCATTTTACTTAAGACTTAATTCTTCGTCGAAACTTAGTTGGGGATAAGATCAAACGCACCATTTCATTTAAGACTCAACACTTCGGTAAAATTTAGTTGATTATAAGACCAAACGCATCGTTTCATTTATATTTCACTCGTTTCATTGTAAAGAGATACTATGCTTAAACAGGATGTGATTTTTTAAAATTTTGAAGTGCCAACATAATTTTTTGAAAATATAGTCGACACCTGTGGAAGGATATGCATTATTTAAACTTTATAATAAATAAACTCTAAATTTCAACTTAATCTCATATTTAGATTTTTTTTCATATGTAATAAATACTATATTTACTAAAAAATATTATTTTTAATTTCAAATCGAATTATTATTAGATTGAATCAAGATAGATTTAGATTTGATCAATTTAATAAATAAGTTATCATATTTGGATTATAATCAAACTCGTATCAAAAGAATTATTTAGCATATATATTTAATTACAGTGAATTCGAATCAATTTTGGGTTAAGATTCGATCTATTTACCGTCTTAATTTGTGCCACGTAACACATTCTCTTAATGCTAAGGATTTTGACCAATAAAAAAAAAAGAACCAAAGAAACACGTGGGAAAAAATATTTTCACTACGAATAAAGGTTTAAAATAGCATTATATATATAAAGCCATCTTAATCTTCTTCATTTTTGCAATTTTTTTTCCTTAGTTCACACCCCATTTCTTTGAAATTTCCAACGTATTCCGATTCTACGTTCCATTGACTTTAATTCGGCAGAATCGTCAACTTATTTTCAGTCATAATAACAATGGAATTGGTGACTTATGAATCAGACCACTACCTAAATTCCTCAGTGCAAACATGAGTAAACAAGACATAAACAGACCAAATCAATTGTTAGGTCGAAAAACAGTGAGAAAAGGAAAAAGGGATCGAATTGACATAAGATAAATCGAACTCCTATTTACTCACTCTTATTCTTTAAGACTCCCTTTCGCTGGAATTGAGTTCAATCTCAATACGTGCTTATTCAATAGTTATAAAGTTAATAATCCCCTTTCATATTCCGTATACGAAGGCCAACGCTGTCTCCATGAGCAAGACTTATCTTTTATTTTTTCTTTTCTTTTTATTACAGCAAAAGTGCAACTAAAGCAAAGATCAATTTAGTAGTCTTAGGAAAGGAAAGGATATCATGTGACCGAGGACCATGCATATTCTTGTGCATCAATTATTACCACTTGGTAGTATTTAGCACATTTAGAACATGCATGCCTTTGCAGCTTTGCTCCAATATAATATCCGGAAAGTGTTGTTTTAAAACGAAATGATTATCTTATTTAGCTGTTAAATAAAATTTTAAAATATGATTTATATTATTTTTTAATAACAATAGCTTAATATTTGTTTTCAAGCAGAAGCAAACAAAGGGGCTCCTGCGTCGATTGTTTTGGATTCACACCCTTCGAAGAAAGCAATGCTCCCGTTTTCGTCGTGGGTTGTCTAAGTAACACTATTACTAATAATCTAATGTTCTTCTCTTGAGCCATGGTTAATTTTCTTTCAAGTTGCAGTACTAATTATATTTCCTAATCAGGGAAAAACAAACATAGCGCAACGATAACTATTGCCAATATATTGTTATCTTCAAAGTTTATAACTTGATATTAATGATGGTGTCAGCCATGATCGAGAAAGAAAAGAAAAAATAACTAGTCTATTTCACACTTTTTATGTGAAATGTCCCCCAACTATTAATGATTTGGCTAACTGGTTGTTAAGGTTCATGAATACAAACTCTGCATTTATCAGATATGTTGGTCAAATCTACTTTACTTATCAAGATTTTCAGCAAGAATTAATTTTCCTTCAATGATAAGGAAAGGGCGATGAAATGATATTACATTAAGCAAATAGTATAATTTTAATTACTTGTTCTTCAATTTTGAATTTCTCGTTATTGCCTTAACGTAAGCAGCATAAGGGGAAGTTCGTTAGCCTGCTTCACTCCATAACCAGAGCTTCGGTGCATGTGTATATATATTCCAGCAGGAAGCCTCGACACTTTCTATCACCGAAAGCGAATAACTAAGGTCGACAATGAAAATTCTAAAACTCATTATCATTGCGACGCTGCGTTTCAATTTCTCCTAAAATACTTATATTTTACATGATTAATTATGAAAAACGTTTACACAAAATAGTTATTATGAATAGGAATCAATACAATAATATCTTTGTTTACCCAATTGCCATGTTTGCTGAACTCCACATTTTAGCGGACATATTACTGCAGATGCTCCTTTCAACAAGGATTCAGCGTTGTCAAAAAGAGTACTAACTAATTATAATGATTGCTACGAAATACCCAATTTAAAAGTGGAAAATGATTTACTCTTTAAAAAAAAATGATCTACAAACAGATTTTTTATACCAAAATTTCATACACAATAATATGTCAACACATAAAAAAAAAATAACGAAGAAAGTCACGTGTGTTTGTATAAAAAAATTATAAAATATATATGTATCGTTGGTTCTTCTATAGAAACAACAATACATAAGATCAAATGAGATGCTACGTAAGGTATGGCTGATCTTTCTGCTTTTCACAAGTTTATGAGCATTCAAACTCTGGTTCTTTGTTCTTCCAAACAAAGATATCCTTAAATTCCCTTTCCACATAGATTTCTCAAATTCTTAAGTTGAGATTATTGAATGAAGATTCTCAAAACTTTTATTTTTTGATCGGGTAATTTCAGAAGTCGTTCTTGTTTTCAAACGAGAACTCATAATTCTCCCTCTATTTCTATTTCCTTGGAAGATGAAAAAATAGGGAGCAAAAGACATAACCATAAGGCGAATAGAATATATACACTCACATATGTATAGAAGGAAGATTCTTTCAAAAACTCTCTTTCGCAGTTAATTCTAAGATTCATCCTCAAAAATATTATTCCAAGATTAATCGGACGAAGAATCTTTGGAAGCAATCAAATCTAAGAGTTTAAATTGAAGTAATCAAGTGATAAAATATCTAAAAGATTTAGCATGACGCATGGAAGATTTTGCCCCATCTTGTCAAGTGACGATAGCATTGGATTACCCAGTTTGTCTTCCCTTTCCATTTTTTTTTTTTAAATTCATCTCAAGATTTATAGATTTTATACTACAATATACAATATAGATAAATCTTTTTAATTATATAAAAATTAAAGAAATTAGAATTATTTGAATTTGAATATTTTTCATAAAAAAATTACCAAATGCTCAACTGTTAAACTATATCTTTCTGAATGTCGCTTTCCAATTCATGGCGGGTTTTTGAACAATCCATACAACATCCTTTCATTTGCTTTACTAACATCTCAACATAACTCTCTCTCTGTCAAAAAAGAAAAAAGCAAGTAAATAAGTTGGAGCTCTCTCCTGTCACAAAAATAAACAATAATAATATCATCAGCAGTCCATAGGTTTGGAAAACTAACAATAACATATTAATAAAATCCATCCTCCTCATCCATTGCAGACAGGCTGTGATGTAATATAGATTGTACAAAGTTTGTCCAAGGCCACAAGTTCAGGCATGCATTCATTAATCATCATGTCACCTTTTAGCCCAAACGAAAATTAAGAAAAAATTAACATAGAGACCATATTAACAACACCAGGCGTTGTTTACCCTCTTCTGCTCTAATTTAGTCCTAATTAATGAAATCCTGAAGTGCTCTCAGAGATTGTCGAACTCACATATTCTCTTACTTCCCTTGCAATAACATCCCTCATCACATCCCAAAATCCAGCTGGCAAACTCTCTGTCGTCCTCTCCGCTAACATTCCACCATTATTACCACCAACTCCACCGCCAATCCCCGGCGGCGCGAGAGTCAATGCGGTCAACGCATCATCCTCTTCTCTTACCATGCCATCTGGCATAGATCGTGATGCAACATTAATAGCAATGCCTTCATTGTTGTTGCCATAATTACCATCAAAATTACCTTCCAAATTTATTTGACTTTGGCGTTCTCTGGCCCTTCTCTTCAATGTGGAGTTCCAATGGTTCTTGACTGCATTGTCGGTCCGACCCGGCAGCAACCTGGCAATGGTGGCCCATCGATTACCATACCTGGCATGAGCAGCCAGGATTGTTTCATCTTCAACTGGAGAAAATGGACGGTGCTCCACATTTGGGCTTAACTGATTGCACCACCTGAGCCTGCATGATTTTCCAGATCGACCCTTTATGTAACGGCTTATTAAAGACCAGTTTCTGGGTCCATGTCGCTCAACAAGCGTGGTCAAAATCTTGTCTTCCTCTGCACTCCATGGACCTTTAATTCTTTCAGATTTGTTGGTGCTTCTTGGTGTTTTATTTCCATTGAAAGAAGACTCCGAAGAAGAAGAATCTGAAGAAGAAGTAGAGCACATGTTCATTGCTTCCATTTCAATCAAAATCACGAAGAGTGAGCTTCAGAGAAAAAGAGAGATTGAGTGAAGGGTTTGGTTCCGAGAGTGGACGAAGACAGTAAATTGAGTTAAACGAGTGAAGGGGTTTTATATATCGATTAGGGAAGAGAGAGAGAGAGAGAGAGAGAGAGATGCATGAACTTGGTACGGCGCCCGATGTGCTAGGTTCTTTTTGGTTTAGAAATATTTAGAGAGGGTTCTTCCAGGAAACTGGCTTTTGTAAAGTTGGTGGGAGTCTGAACCAGGAACTGCTGTGTAAGTGCGTACCCTCGAGCGTGTGCGTTTTCCTTATATAATTTTGCTTTCAAGATTTCCTTTCTGCTAGGAAATTTTGTTGCAGGTCTGATTCTGTTTTGTCTATAAGAACCTTTTTGTTGGAGGATGCTACGAGGAATGTGCAGTAATTATGTGAGTAGTAACATTTATAGTTACAAAATGCACATTAGAAATAGCTACTTATTTAATTTACCTGGCTACCTTAATTTGTGTTGCATATTTGTGTACGCGGACATCCTCATAGTGGCCAAATCAAGTAACTCTACATAACCATCCCGTGATTGTTGGTTAATTACTGAAAAGAATACCCAGAAGCGAAGTAGTGGTGTGGTTGTCGAAACTCATTATTAAAGTATATGCCACAGTTTTTTGTACCCTTGAGTTATTTCTTTTTGATGAGTCTAAGTTAATTCCTTCTTATCTTGTACTATTATTTTATCTTTGCAACTACAAGACTCGTGCTGCTTCTTTACACAAACCCCGAACAAAATTGTTCTTCTAATTTTGTGACTATTTGAAATTACCAGGAAGTGAATTTTGGTAAGCACGCACCATACTGATGCTTTCAAAATCTAAACAAGGACTGGTGCTACTTAAAACACGAGGTCGTGGTAGGAATATGCAAAAACATTAAAAATGTCTATCAAAATAAGTTCAACGGAGTGAAACTAGAGGGCAATTGTGGGATTTGGGCGAAACCAAGCAATCTCGATGCAGAAAGGAAAATTAATAAAATCATTCTCGTACGTACTCAAGAGTCTCACACAGAGACACAATGCTTATCATTTACAGACATTAAGGAAACAAGAGAGGGGAGCGTTTAAAACATGACAGGAAGGCCAAAGCTGTTTCACACAAAACAAATGTTTTAAAACGGAAAGTGGGGCCGAAACCTTTTGACTCGTTGGATGGATTTACAGCTGGTGAGTCCAAATCCATACCCTCAGTAACTGGAATCATCGGCTCCAATCAACCGTCTCAAAAGGCGATACTGTTAAAAAGAGCCACTTAGATTATTTGTATTAGTTTCCTCAAGAGGATGACTTCAACGTCTTCCACGTAGGAAGGCCCCACAGCCAGCCTGTACGAATCTCACGTGATTCGAGATGAATCTGTTTGACTTTGTGGTTTATTCAACAAAGCTACCAACTCCACTCTTCATCTCGGAGCGTGTGTCTCACAACCACACTATTTTCACTTCAAGCTTAGACTTCAATCGATCTTCCCCATGCCGTTTTCTTCTTTTTGTTAACCTTTGTTAATTCGATTCTACACTAGCCGGGAAAAATCACAAGCCAGTGTCATTTCTCAGTGCCATTGTAGATAATACTTAAACAGATAATGTTGAAAATATCTCCATTGCTAGTTTTTGCTTCACAATGTGATGCGATGCAACTTCAAATTAAACAATAACTTCTAGATTTTTTTTTATATGTTTTCAAAATTCAATAGCATAATTATTTCTAAAACTGCTTTGAGTGCTAATATCAACAATACTCAAATAATCAATGCAATCTGCTTACTTCTATAATTATTTCATCAGATATAAACTACTCATATATATAGCTCTCTCCTTGACTCTTCATTATCATTATTTTTCAATTATTAATTCTAATTATTTTCATATTGTTTCAAATAATGTGTATGAAATAAATTTATTTCGACTTTATTCTAGCTAATATGGTCTAGAGCTTTTCTAGAAACTTTTATTTCAATAAAATAATAATGATGATAATAATTTCACACAACATTCATTCACATGACATAAGCCACAAAAACTCAACACAGAAAAAAAAAACATGGCAAACATGTAATGCCATCAATTGATGGGACATTGGTCATGGTAAAAAAAAAAAAAAAAAAGGTGAAATTTGAATTTTGTTGTCATCATACATCATATACATTATAAAATAACTCAATACATGGTTAATTCAAAAAATCAGACATTTAAAATGCTAAATTAATCAAATTATTTTTTAACCTAAAATCACACAAGAAGGAGTCCATATATTTTTAATTTTTATTTTAGTCTCATTATACTTTTGTACATTTGAAATTCAAATTAAATTCGAAATACATATTCATTTTAATAGATATATAACGTTGTGAATTAAAAGTGGAATGATCTTTATGCTTGTTGTGATGAAATGCTTTGTATATTTGCTTGCTTTGTTTTTAAATCCATTTTGTTATATTTTAGCTCAAGTAAATGATAGATTAAAAAAGATTAAAAGTTTTCAATAAGATTTTTAAGATTTTATTATTATTTTGAAATTTCTAATATTATTAATAATTATAGAGTTATCCAATAGTATCATCGAAAACAAATATAAACATAAAAAAGAGATTCAAACTCAATAATTTTGTGTCTTATGTTAACACACTTATACATACATGATTGTATTTATTTTATAATGAAATTAGGATTAATATTTTTAATTAGTTAATTAAAAAGTTTAAGTCGAATGAATTCTTAAAATATTTGAATAAAAACATCAAACAACTAAAATCATGAATTTAGCTTTCATGACTAAATAGCATTAAAAAGTAAATCATATCTCTTCAAGTTGGAAAGAAAAACCCCTCAACTCCACCTGGTTTTGGCAGAAACTTCATTGGACACTAACCCAATTACCCTTTGAATAACAATAACTTGAATAATTAGCCTTACAGCATCACAAAATAAAACCAATTTATTGGAAATGGATCAAAGATAATTGTTATTTAAGAGCATTCCATGAAATGCAGAAGCCCGGCTCTCGTGGTCTCTCATGGAGCTTTAGTTCCCTAAAAACCGTAAGAAATAATTTGGCTGTGGATAGAGAGATTGTAGACTACGCGCTTTACGACGATATGAATTACTCAGCCCCACAAAATATGAAACGAATCGGCCTATCATTTTATCCTAGCCGCCCACGTGGCAATTTTAATGGATTTTTTGTTGTCTTATAGTGGACCTGTGATGTAACTTCACCGAGAAGCAGTTGGGCAGTTGATACTCCAGCTGGCATCAAACCATAACTCATTCACCGACTGGTTTCCAAAATTTCCGTAGTTTTCAAACAGCAAATAAAAAACAAGGACATTTCCCCACTAGAGGTTGCATTTGTGGGACCAGAAAGTGCGACTGTTTTTGGTTAGAGAGATCATAATAAACTGAGCCACTTGATTTGTAGACATCAATGGGGTCCAACATGTTCCCTTCCAACCCATTTGTTGGTCGGCTTAGCTCTGTCATTGGTTATTTTTGGTTTTGCCCAATACCGCGTGGGAATAGGTAGTTTGTCCTTTTCTTCGTCTGGTCAAATATTGGTTATGGTTTGTTGATCTTCTTTGTTGTTTGCTCTGTCAGTTTTTGCCTTTGCCCCTCTCATGTGATAAATATGAACCATTTTAATTTCATTGCTCGTGCTTTTACAGAACCCCTTATTGTTGAAATTTTATCTTGTTTTTGCCATTCTTTTGAATCATTTAGTAGCTACTTAGGCCGGAAGTACTTTGTTGGAAAAATGTGATCTTTCAAGCTTAATATCCCGTGGAGTTCCTCCATTTCAGGATTAAATAGTTTGGCTTAGAAGTTGTTGGCAGTTAATATTAATAATTAGACATTATCAATACGAATCTTAAAATGGTATTTATTGAAAAATATTAAATTTTATCATTTTTTTCTAATAAAATTAATACTATCTTTAGTATGCAATGAGAATATATAAAAAATAAATAATTAGATATGAAATTTTTTTAATTTTTATATAATATTACTACGAATTAAAAAGTAAAAAAAAATCTTATTCACAACTTTGAAGGAATATTAATCAACAAATGTTTAAGGGCCCTTTTTTAATATATATATATATATATAAGTAAGTTTAGTATTCTCCAAATTATTTTTCCTACCTGGTATTTAAATTTTGACTGTAGGTTCCCTTGCCTGGTCCCTCAACAGTCTAAAATAACCATCACGCCTTAAAATTAGATGGTTCTTTACACCAAAATGGAAATTTTGCTACATAACACGATGATTTAACGTATTGCTTTTTTCTCAGTTCTTATTATCGTGGGTGTCGGGTCCATGCAGTCCCCTAGGTACGATAATTGACCTCGTTTGAATTTATAGTTGAATATGACGATAAGTTTCGTATAAAATACAATAACAAAGGAAAAGGATAAGTTCCTTCGAATTGTATTATACATGTCAAGGAAAATGACGCTAGCTTGCCTCTATCATTATCCTTTCGCATTGATCAAAGATTATCCTTTAGGCTTCTGTAGAATGATATTCCAAGAGAATGACTGATGAGGGTGTAAAATTCGTACTTCGCTTCTTGACTCTACTTGATTTGCTGCTTCTATTTTATGGTACTTATATTCAATGTTTTCGTGGAGTTTTGTTATTGGTTGCTATTATATGTGTGTGTATACAGTGTGTTTTTGTTTTTTTTGCTGATCCTTTCTCCTCCTTTTTTTCATAGTCTGTTTTTTTTTTAATTGGAGGCAATTAAGGAAAAAATGTTCACGATCATTTATTAGCAAAAGAAACTATTAAATATATAGAAATTTATATTTCTTTACTTTACATGAATGTGAGAGCCGTTGTAAACATAATTTATGCATTCTAGAAGAAAATACAACTACAGACATATTAAATAATTCCAATTTAATATGAGCATTTTTAATGTCAATTTTATTCAACCACACAATATTTTACAAAATCCTTTTTTCTCGTGTAGAAGAAGTCTAGAAAATGAAGGTGGGTCTACAAAAATGTGCTGCTACAAAACTACAAAAATTAGGAACAATGATCTTTTGAGTACCTCTAAAATCAAAATAGATCAAGTTGAATACATATGATTTTATCAAATTACATGAGAAAAAAACTTTTGTAGGTGGAGTTCTAGAAGACAATTCTGGTTTATGGATCGGGGGTTTTGCTCAAAATATTGATAGTTATTCTATTAGTATAGCATAGTTATTAGAATCGATTCTAAAATTGCTACTCAATTAATTCAAAATTATTCGAGTACCGATATCGGCAATGTTCAAATAATCAATGCAATCCGCTTACTCTTACAATTATCTTGTCAAATGCAAACAACTCACGTGTGTAAAGAATAATGATGATGATAATGATAATGATAATGATAAGAATAATTCTTATAAGACATTCATTCACATAGCATAAGTCACAAAACCCCAACACAAAGAGAAAAAAACATGTGAAACATGTAATACCATCAATCGATGGGACACTCACCATTGTAAAACAAGAACAAGGTGGAGTTTGAATTTTGTTGTCATTACACATCATAAACATGATAAAATAACTCAACACACAATTAAGTTCGAAAATCAAACATTTGAAAGGTTAAACTAATCAAATTATTTTTTTAACTTAAAGTCACATGAGAAGGAGTCCATGTATTTTGAATTTCTATTTTAGTTCGATATACTTTTGTATATTTGAAATCAAGTCATTTTGTTACCTTTTTTAAGGATTCCTTTTATATTTTATGTATGAAACTAATAAAATAACAAATAATCTAAACTTCAACAACTTTTAACATAGTTAATCAATTTTAAATTCTTTAATAGAATTGATTTTAAATTAATCAATTAGGTTAGAGATTATTGAAGTTGAGGGTATTTAAGTCATTGTACTAGTTTTATATGCAAAAGGTGGAAGGAGGACTTGAAAAAGTAAGAGAAAGAGTTAATTTCAAATACATTAAAATATCAAAAATATCAAAACTAAAATTGAAAGTATATAGATTAATTCTTAGATGACTTTAAGTTTATGAAAAGTATCCGCAGTTTATCCCATTTGAAATTCAACCATAAGAAAACTCACATAAACAATTTACATAATTTTACTTATCCCATGTTGTATCACTTTTTTCTTTGGGATAATTAATAGAAAAACCTTTTAAACAAACTTCATTCTAAAAAACCCAATAATATATTTTTGAATCCACCAAGCCTAAAATAATTATTTTTTTTATCAAAACACCTACTAGATAATCCTTTAACTTAACACTAGTTAATGTATTTTAGTTATTGATCAAAATATCTTTATATATTTTCAAAACATTTTTTTAACACTTCGCCAAGTAATCATAAAAAAATATGATAACAAAGAGGTGAGAAACTTTTTATCCTAAAAATTTTGCAAAGAATTCTATTAAAAATTATCCTTTCATAGAGTCCAAAACATAGTCCCGTAGTTACTAGACTTTTGCAATATTAGAAAACATAGTCCAACAACTACGAACAACTACTAGCAGCCTACTAACCTATTGGAATATTAGTCGTAGTGAGACAATCTTCTTACAAACCCCACCTTACAAGACTAAACCAAAGCAAGGATAACAAAAGAGTCGTATGGAGCAAAACAAAAACACCATAAAACCCGTAAATCAAAGCTTCTAAAAGGATGTAGCTCATATCCAAGAACACGTAACCCATTTAGAGTTAGAAATTATAGGAGCAACTTCAAAAGCCAATTATTGATCATGGTAAATAGAGATGACTCTTTCAACTAGTCTAGCTCCTAAATATTCAAAGTATATAGCTATTTTAGTAAATGAATTCTATGTCTTGCAATTAATTTCTTCTTTTTTTTTCTTTTGGTTATAAGAGAAAATTAAAAGCTCATAAAAATAAATAAACACAGAGATAACTAAAATATATATATATTTAGATATTGAATGTTAAGAATTGGTACAACAACTTCACTCCTTCAAGTCGTTTTAATTGCTTAAACAAGATAATGGTTTGGTATCCCATTCTATAATACTCTAGACCAATCACTATCAAATATTATCAATAATTAATATTAACAAATACATATTTAATGCATCGATGGTAAATGATAGATCATGCATCATATAGAGGTGTGAAATAAACAAAAAAATTTCTTCCATCTAGAGTTTCCAATATCATGTCATTGAATCACCTAATCATACATACATAAATAAAATAATAGTGAGTGATCACCTCTTGTAGCACAAAATTAACCTTGCGTAAGGAAGCCATCCAAGTGTTCAACCTTTATTGATAATCCACTTAGTTTAAACACATAAACAAGAAGCAATAAAAAACTATTGAGTGTTAGCTCCATCTTTTTCTAATTAGTTTATTTTATTTTTAGAAATCAATTCATGGTTTTATGCGACAACCTTGGAGACCAGAGAGAGGTGACGAGTTAATAAGAGAAATTTGTTTCTTTTTTTATTTGTGTGTGGCATGTTTTTTTCTTTTCTTAGTTGTTACTCTTATCGCCTCTCTCACCTCTATTTATATCGGGACAACAACATGCAACTTCTCCTCGTAGCTCAAGTAGATGTTGTCAATGTGGGCTTTGTTTAACCTTATCCTTGTAAACCCTTAGCCTTATCCAATAAGGCTCAAGTTTATCCTTTAATCAAAATATCTTACGAGCTTTTAAATTAAAACTATTGGTCCAAACGCTTTTAGCCTAATTAATTACTAATTAATTTGGATAATTACTAATTAATTTAGATAATTCAAATAAATTGGGTCAAATATTTTAATGGTGCCCACATTGAAAAATAATTTCCTAAACTACCCTTAAACCTAAATTAGAAAACTAATTTTCATTTTAGCTAACTCGTCTTCCAAATTTCAAACCGACTTTCAAATTAGAAAATTGATTTCTAAAATAGAAAACTAGTTTTTCATTTTAGGAAAATGACTTTTCAAAATAGGAAACGTTTCGTAACAGAAACTGTTTCAAAAATTTTTACATTTCTTTTATTATGTGAATATTTAAATTTATATTTATGACTAAATAAGCTCCTAGATGTGTTAGTAATATATCAAGAGCAAAAGACACCTCTTTTATCTCTTGATACATAAATCAAGATTGGTCTCTAGTAAGGTGTCATGACTATCGAATTCTCTGAAGGATTAATTAATTTATAATTATCTTTCACGAGCATGGTTACCATGCAATTTAGTCCTCATATCAATTTATCACAATTTGATCTTGAACTTGGTTTATTTGATTATGATCATATAAATTTTCTTCGATTTTCAAATGTATTAGCTCTAAAATAAACCAATCGTGCTCTATTGGTATACTCCCACTATGGTCACCGATTTCTTAAGCATACATAATGTGATAACTCCTTTAGTATATAAGTAATGACATATCATATTTCAGTCATCCATCTATCTCCATTAGATTTCTAGTGCACTTAACAAATCATCCACATGCAG